TATAGTAATATCAAATATGATAACATTTGTATATGAAACTAAAAATACTTAAAATTTTTAAAATAAATATTTTTACTTATAAATATAAAATTTATTAACAAGTGAAAATTCTCTTATAAGTATAAAATTAACTATAACTAAAAAAATTTCACATTTAAATAAAAAATTGCTAATAGGTAAAAAATTTACTTATACATAGAAATTTATATGTAACTAAAAAAATCATTTATAAGTAAAAAATACTCACAGTAAAAGTTCACTTTTGAGTATGTTTTCGTCTAAGTAAGAAAAATAATTTATGAATAAAAATTTAGCAATTTTGTTTTAGAAATGCTTGTACGTTTTTCTAATACGGCGTAGCACCAAAAATTGTATTAGAACAATACATAATATTCACGCTAATCATGCTCTTCCTAATCCTATCTGTCTTAACTCAATAGGATGTACCGACGTTCTCTACTAGTTTCCCTCGAGTTCTTTGTTAAGATATCAAGCGAGTTCATCTAAACTAATAAACTATCAAACCACCGAACACGAACGTTAGGCTCCAACATTTTTATCACTCACTTTTAGCCTCTCGCAGCAACTTCAAAACACACACTCATGTATCCATATATTATGTATATATATATATTTATTATTGTTCAAAAATATGAAATAAAACGTAACATAAGGATCGCCAACTTCGTTTATAAAAGCATATCAATTTCAAAAGGATATATTCATAATTTTCAAAAATTTCATTATTCCTTTCTCTGGTTTACAGCGTACTTTACTCACTGTTTTATAAACATGTTCTAGCCTCCATACTTCAATTTGTTTTTGGTTTTTCCATGTCAAAATCTTTCGAGATTTTCAAAAAATTCACATATATCTAGAAGAGAGATTACCAATATCAAAAAATATATTAAATAAACCAGAGCAACCAGGTCCACCCATCATCCAGAGCACAAGAGGGTCCGTTTTATAATTGTTTTCGGACTCAATGAAATAGTAGAATAGTTGCACTTCATCATTGTCTCCCACACCGATGTATCTAATCAATCATTTTGAACATGAAAACAAAGTCAAAATCTTGTCGACCGTCTACTACTACGTATCTAAAGGAAAACAAGGAATGAAGGAACTAACCCAGTTTCGAGTTTGAATGGAAGAGTACCCTCATAACCCGGAAGAGTCTTGATTATTGCTTGTGATGCTCCATTTTTGAAGAGTAGTAGTAGAAGAAGAAGTCCATACAACCCTATCCAATTCATTATAATCAACCACAGAAATTGAATTGTAGATGAACGTATTTAGTCACAGTATATATATCATTTGAAAGGGACAGAACGTATTCAATACCACGAGGTGCTCGCAGCCAAGAAAATGATATTTAATACTACAAAGTAGAAACTTTGAAATTACAAATTTGTAGTAGGTAGGGTTATTCAAATTTCGAACGTGGTAAGTATGTGGAAAACGTGAATTTGTGTTAGGTAGCAACTAGTTGACGTTTTCTAATATTATCTTGTAAAATCACGACTTCGAAATAAGATCTTTGCTTTTTCCCTTTTTAGAATGTGTAAGATTGGTAATAAGTGTAGAGAAAGTGATTTCGAAAAAATTACTTTCTTTCAAGGTCCTTATAATCACTCTTTCGAAAAATAAGAAAAAAGGTTTTTTCAATGTCTCCCTATAATCGTGAAAATAAAAACAAAATCGGTTGGGAGCTTTGAAGATTTTCCCTTAAATTCGTATAGTGCCAATAATACCACACGACTTTAAGAATTTTCACGTTTTTATCTACATGCTCAATATAAGAATGTTAATTTTTAATTTGAAAATTTTCTTGCCAATCACTTTTCAAAAAATCAACGCATAATGACTTTAAGTTCCTATTTAAAATTAAATTTTCTGTTGATTTTAATAAAATTTGATNNTTGATTTTAATAAAATTTGATGAAATATATGATTGAAGATCTGAATGTCATAAAATTTATGATTAAAATTAATTGTTAACTTTAATTTCAACTTTTTACAAGTAGGTTAGTGCCTTCCGCTTGACGACTTTTTTGACATCAGCTCTTTAGCTTACGATTTTATCTAGTCCAGTATCGCACGTGTCCACTCTTCATCATCTGTAACAAGGTCAGCCACCTCTGCAAAAGCATGACACATACTGTCGTGTCTCAACTATTCAGGAGTACTCTTAATTGAAATAGAAGCTCTCTAGCTCTCAATATGTTGTTTTATGTAATGTAGAAATAAAATCATGTGAATATATATATAGGAGCCTATTTTGGAGTTCTAAATGAAGAAAAAGACATAAAATTTTGAAAAATCGAAAAAAACTTCGTCACGATGGCACCTCGGTGTCACCTTCACAGAACCTCGGTGCCCAGTGCCTGTTCGCATATTAGTAGGGTTAGCTTTGCGGTGTCCCTAGCTGGCGCCCTAACACCAAGCCCCTGTTTCCATTCTTCAATATGGGCGCCCCAACGCTGCGATAGTGGTGCCCTGGGGCCTAGTTTCGGCCACTTTACATCCAAGGCCTTTTTTCCATTTCAATGTCCTTTTCCCGGTCAAAATTCTAATTCTTGATAAAATTTGATTCTTATCAATTAGGACCATCAAACTAAGACTTCCTAAACTTCATTTATCCAATAAATCACCAAATCAAAAAAGGAATTTGGGTCACATTACAACAAAATGAAGTAGACCGATTACGTGATCGAAGCTTGAGCCTACATCTAATAAGATACAGACTGTCAAACAGTCTCCAAGGATATAGTGGCTCCACATAAGTGAGCAGGGTCATAAATTATATTTTGAGCTACGCTAATATATAAAAAATCAAATCATCATCATCATCATCATCATTATTATTATTATTTATTTTTCATGTTTGTGGGAGTGGGGGTGGCTTAAATCTAGGGAAGTCGCCCCTTGCTGATTGGGGCGCATTTTT